GATTCATTTTTGGTGGATAAAGGCATTTCTCATAATTTTTCATCTCCATATACACCACAACAAAATGATGTCGTTGAGCGAAGAAATCGATCTTTATGCGAAGCTGCAAGAACAATGCTAGCCTATGCGAATCTGCCACAATACCTTTGGGCTGAAGCAATTTCAACTGCTTGCTTTACTCAGAATAGATCTTTCATCTATCGATGTTTTAATATTACTCCTTATGAAATCATCAATAACAGAAAACCTAATGTTAAATTTTTCCATGTTTTCAGATGCAGGTGCTTTATTATGAATCTTCAGGACAATCTTTCAAAATTTCAAGCAAAAGCTGATAAAGGTATTTTCCTTGGATATTCGCATAATTCTATCGTGTGCTAAACAAACGAACTCGAAAAGTGGAAGAAACATTTAATCTTACTGTTGATGATTATTATATTAAACAATATGATAAACAATTTGACAATCATCCAATCTTACAAGAAAATCAAACTCAATATGAAAATATACAATCATTTGATATTGATTATGACTTGATTTTTGGTAATTCAGATTATGCTGCAAATGTTGAATGTAATGCTCCTGATAATCATGTCAATGAAATTTCAAAACTAAATGATGATTCAACATCATCTCCTCAAACAATGTGCAAAAGTATGCATGATGATTCAGTGGAGGGGGAGCACTCGGATTCGAACACTCTACCTGAGGGGGAGCATTCTTTCGATGGGGAGAACCAAAAGGGCTTGTGATGGTGTTGAGGGGGAGCAAGTAAATGATCATATTGAGGGGGAGTTAAATCAAAATGATAAAACTTATAATGATATTAATGATGTTGGTTCAATTTTAGGATCTTAAAATGAAGAAATGTACGAAGATGCACCTTTGGACTTCGATCCAGCTTATCCACCAATGGAAAAATGGACAAAAGATCATCCGAAGGAACAAATAATTGGTAATCCACAAGAAACAGTTTAAACAAGAGCTCACATTCGTGCGAAAAATGAGGTATTAAATGCTCATCAAGAATTTCGTATGTTCAACGTTTTTATCTATAAAATTGAGCCAAAAACAGTTAAGATTGCAATGGAACACTCAGATTGGGTTGTTGCAATGCAATCTGAATTGTCTGAATTTGAACGAAATAAGGTTTGGAGGTTAATTCCTAAACCAAATGATGTTTCAATTGTCGGATTAAAATGGATTTTCAAAAATAAAACTGATAAAGACGGAAATATAATTCAAAACAAAGCAAGACTTGTTGTTAAGGAATATTCTCAACAAGATGGAATTGATTACGAAGAACCTTTTTCCCTTGTTACAAGACTCGAGCCAGTTCGTATATTTTTGGCTTATGCAGCTCACAAAGATTTTGATGTATATCAAATGGATGTGAAGTGTGCATTTCTGAATGGAGAACTCGAAGAAACAGTATATGTGGAACAACCTCAATATTTTTTAAACGAAGAACATCCAAATTATGTTTATATTTTAGATAAGGCAGTTTATGGTTTGAAACAAGCACCACGAGCCTGGTATGCAACTCTTACTTCATTTTTGAAACAATCTAAATTTAAACAAGGATCAGTTGACCCCACTTTATTTCGTAAGAAAGTTGGGAATCATCTAATGCTTGTTCAAATTTATGTTGATGATATTATTTTTGGCTCAACTGACCCTACTTTGTCTAAAGAATTCGAAGATCTGATGAAGAGAAGGAATTTACTCAAATCAAGAAAAATACACGAAGAATCTACTCAAAAAGTTTGGCTTGGTGAATAGCACGAAATTACACATTCCAATGGAAATTGGCATTAAACTCACTCCTTCGTTAGATAAACCTGTCGTTGATATAACTTTATACAAAAACATGATTGGATCTTTACTTTATTTGACTGCAAGTAGACCTGATATCATGTTTTCTGTTTGCAATTGTGCTAGGCATTAATCAAATCCTCGTGAACCACATCTCACTGCTGTGAAGAATATCTTTTGTTATCTCAAAGGAATGTCTTCGCATGGATTGTGGTACCCTTCGAATACTTGTTTTTTTATTCAAGCATATTCGGATGCCGATTTGGGAGGATGTAATATGGACAGGAAAAGTACAAGTGGTGGTTGTCAAATACTTGATGGTAAATTGGTAAGTTGGCAATCGAAAAAACAGACATGTGTTTCTATCTCAACGGCCGAAGCTGAATATGTTGCTGCTACTTGCACATCACAGATAATATGGATTCAAAGTCAATTATGTGATTATGCAATTAATATGAAAAAGATTCCTTTATATTGTGATTCACAAAGTGCAATAAGAATTTGTCATAATCCTATGCAACATTCGAAGACCAGACACATTGCTCTTCGCTATCACTTCATAAAAGATCATGTAGAAGATGGAAATATTGAAGTTCATTTTGTGAAAACTATTGATCAATTGGCTGATATTTTCACGAAAGCATTGGATGAAAACTCGTTTGTAAGAATTTTAGAAGGACTTGGAATGGTTGATGGTAATTCAGTTTCATGCGAAAAAGAAGATTGATAGTTCATAGACATGTCATCAATGGATAAGGATATTGTTCATATGTCATTTTTCGAATGCTTCGAATTAGTATGACTGAATTTTTTTTCTCATTTTAAAATTCAAAGATCTGCAACAAATAACTTTTGTGAATTTTTTCTTTGTTTTTTGTGCTTTATTTTCAAAAACTCAAAAATATCAAAAAGATTTTCATTTTATTTTGTTTCTTCTTTTCGAAAAATCAAAAACAACAAAAAGATTTTATTTTTTTCTTTAAGTACTTCGTTGTAGATTTTCTTGAAGAGATGAAGAGGCAAATGTTCGCAGGTTCTAGGGTCAGGTATAAATCTCTACTCTTTGAATTTTAAATTTTAAAAACTAGTTAGAATGTCCCTAGAATGAGCTACCTTACTCTTCTCACATGAGTTAAGAGTTTTCTGTTTGGTCCAATATAACAGAGGTACATTCTTTCTAAGGAACCAATCTTTTTCATCTTAAAATTCTTACACTTGCACACATGAAGACATATATTCATGAGGTTTCCGATCAAAACCAATCGAAATCTAGGTATATCACAAATTTGTGTTAATGATTAGTCGTCATGAGACGGTGATGAAAGAGGAACCCAAATTTCTTTCCAAATTAAGGAATTGACGGGGAACTTTGTTCCAAATTTAAATAAACTTTTGTTTCAGTACCAATCTTGAAAACTCCAAATCATATTCATTTCGTATGAGTGATCTTGATCAAATTTTCGTAACCCACGAAGTTTGTTACCCATCAAGATCCAGCATAATTTTTTTTATGAATATGATTTCTCTGTGAGTTTAATTCGAATCCTAATGTTACTTTAAATATTTTTCAAAGCATACTTGTCACTGGATATACTGGTCACACAAGTAATTTTTGTTACAATTACTCACCTTATGTTAAGGCTGATATGTAACGAAATTGTTTTTAGCCACCCATGTAACCTTACGAAAATGCCCTTGAAACTTATCTACAAGTTTTCGATTGTATTTCAAAGGAACATACACAAGTTGTTGATTATCTCTCTTGATAATTAACGAAGCAACCTTTGTCTGGGGTATAACTGCCTTCGTGTCAAATTTATTTTTGACATCACAAATATCGAAAAAAAAAATTAATTTGCTTCTGATCTTAACTCTTTGACACAATACACAAACGAAATCCTTGAGGTTCTAAGTAATACCAACTCAGGCTGATGATTTCGAAACTCTGGCAAATGACTTTACTTCGAAACCCAAAAGTAAAAGAGCCTAACCTCCATCTGAAGAGTTCTGACGGTTACAATTCCATTGGGTCAATATATACAGGTTGTTTGAGGAGATGTTTTATATTACTTCCGGTTTTCAAGGTGATGTGACAGTTACTTTTTGACGCATGGTTACTTTATCAACATCATGATACGCTTTTCTCGGTGACACGTCAGCAAGCATAAAATGCATATCCTGCTTTGATTTCAAATTGAAGAGTTACATATAAAAGGGGATATAAGGGTTAATGATCCGTTTACGCTTTCTTCATTCCAAATACTCTTTGTGAATCAAATTCTCTCTGTTCATCATTTACTTCAAAACCCTAAAAAATGGCGAATGTTACAAATGTTACGGCTGAACCTTATCACACAACGGATGATGTTACTTCTTTGCCAATCATGAAGATCCAGGGTACCAGTTATCAGGTGGAATCCAATGTTTCATTGTATCCTGAAGAACTCAAAATGCTGATTGTTGCTCTGTAAAACTCCGTTTTATCAAAAGCAATGTTCAACTCCTTTTTTGTTCCTCTCTCCTGGTTATCACAAACCGGATCTACTGCCACATATTCCAAAGGATTGGATGTTGTTACATTTAATCTAATCAATGATAAAAAGGTTAGGTTGACACAAAATCTTTTCTGCAAAATTCTGGATATCCTAAATTCTCCACTATATGTTTCTTTCACATTTCCTCAAATCGTTCCCATGTTCAACGAAATGGGTCATCAATCCCGGTTAACCAAAATCAGCGACTTTAAGAAGTCGGGACTTCCATGTGTATAAATATTTCTTTTTGGGATTTTTCTTCGTTGTTTGACTGGAAGAACAGTAGGACTTGATAAGGGAAGAATGGAGGTATATTCCATGGTAGCAGGGTTGTATTATGACCTCCAGGTGGACTATTCGACTCAACTATGGAAGGAATATCAAAAGAGTATCGAGAACACGCATGTTGTTCATGGCATTTCGTGTACTAGGTATTGGAGCTTGATTTTGCACCATTTCTATGATAAAGAAGGGATATTAGTTCTAGCTAATGAGGAGAAGGGTGTGTTTCACACATATAGTTGTCTGAATGATGCAACGGATGATTTGGATGAGTTTCCGTTTGCAGCTCGTATCCCCGATGCGATGCTAAAGAGAGTTGATCCTTCGAACCCAGTCTTGGTTTATTACTTAGCAACAATCAATAATGTTATGGAAACTGGGATTCTTTCACCACAGATATATGAAAAGAGATACAAGAAGTCGAAGACAGTTGATCTTGGGTCTTCGGATACAAAAGTAAAGTCTTCAAAGAAAACGAAGCAGGTTCCTATCATTGAACCTAAGCCAATTCATCCAGATCCGATTATTCCTGATACTCAGGTCATTGAAAAGGAAGTCATTCCTTCGAAGACTGGTGTATTCAGAAGAATTAAGATGAAGTCGAAGAGTAAGAGAATATCATCAAGTGCGAATGTTGTTCGTAAAACACAAGTATCTCATCAAGGGGTCATTTTTTGGGAAATTCCTACCCCTGTTTCTCAATCATCAAAGAAGACAATGGCTGCTAACATGGCTAAACATATTTCTAAGAAGAAGCAGCGTAAGTTGGTTTTCTCTTCTTATTCTACAGCTGATGAGATAGAAGTTATTCCAGAGACTCCAGAAACAGTTCTTATCAAAGAATTTTTTAAAGCAGATACTTCAGTGACTCAACCACCCGAAGTTTTGATTGCCAAGACAGTTACTGTGGAGGCTCGATCTTCAGACTTCCCTAGAAACATATCTGATATGGATAAAAATGTCATCATGGGTGAGAATACTTCGAATGATGCAGCTAAAGGTAACACATATAATGTGATTTCAAAATCTCTCATTTCTTTGCCTTCTCAAACTACCCCTATTATTCCTACAACATCTACCACTAATTTTCCCACATTTACTCACATTATATCACATCCATTCACAACTCTCTTTTCATCACAATCAACTGATCCACCTACCACCACCTCTTACTGAAAGATGCATTCCTAGAAACTAAAAATGAATTAGAAGGTTTTGGGGGAACATTTGAAAACCTGGAGTTTGATGAAGAGGAAACTGATTTCCCGGATCATATGATAATGACGATGAAACAGTTTAATATTTTGAATTCAAAGCTCAATTCAATTATTTAATCTCAAGCTGACATTAGGGGAGGTCGTAATGTATCAAGTCTGGAAGTTGATGGCATATTGTCATTGGTTTTAAGGGAGGCTGACAACCAAAGTTTCTGTAATGATTCAAGATTATGAGTCTCGATTAATGGAAAAGATTGATCTTTCTGATAAAAAGAAATGAGTTACGGGTGAAGTCACAGAAGCCTGATTTTTCGTCAACTATACAAGATTTGAAGGTGGTAGCAAAAGAACGGTATGTGCTCTTCGTTCAAGATGTTAAGAAAGTCTGAGAAGACATAAATTTCAAAATTCAGGAATTACGTTAAGATATGGAGAAGGAAATTTTGGTTGTTCGTACTGAATTCGAATCCATCAACAAGAAGGTGGATATTATCTGCGAAGCTGTTACAAAGTTTGCAAAGAGATACCGTATTGGTCGAGCTTTTTCCGATTGTTCCTCTTGGTCCATCGAATAGAAAATTTTGTGGTATATCGTATAATAAGATCAAGGATGCACGTGAATCTGACTCTAAAATTTTTAGGAGCCTCTTAGGGGAACCTGTGGCTGGATTGAATCCTTCGTGATGGAAATTCCCTTCAAGGTGCTTGCTTCCACTGGTGGCGGGTGGGCGAAGGGTCCAAAGGACACGTAGCCGAGGGCGAGTCAGAAAATCCAAGAATTCCATTTTCCTTCATGGTTTCAATCATCACGAACCAGGTCTTTATAGAGAGGAGTGTCGAGCAAGCCCTTCTCCAAGACGGATGGGGCGCTGGTTCGATTCTAGTGCAATACACAAGTATTCATGGCATTGTTCACACTCCACAAGGGAGACTCCTATGTCCTCGCTCTATGAAAGCCCGAGTCCACAGATTACTCAGCTTTCAACAACTGATAATAAAAATTTCATCGAAGTATTCACACTTCTAAAAGAGCTCAAAAGTCTATCTTCCAAGCCTGCTTCATCCGCACTATCTTCGGAAGATTTGATCCAGAAATTTTCAAAGTTCGAAGAATTACTTGTTCAACAACTAGCTCCTTTATCATGCATCTCCAGTCTTCTTCCAACTACGTATGCCCTACCTACTAGTACAGGGGTGAAAGGGGGAGAAAAAATCATGGCAGGAACGAAGACAGGAGGAGATTCGAAGGTTGTAGGGAAAGTGTTCTCAACGAATATTCCATCAACAAAACCAATTATTGCAACAGATGGTCCAATCTCTTCAACAATTGTCACCACTGTGCCATTCACAAAACCAAAAGGAATTGTTATTGGTAAAACTACTGAAGTTGGAGGGAGTGGTTCCAAACTAAAAGAAAATATTGACGTATTTGGCGCAAAGTCAAAGGGAAAATAGATACTGATTGAAAAATCTAAGGAGGAGAAGAAGGCAGAAGTAGAAGCGGAGGTTGAGAAAATGAGAATGATACAAAGTATCATGACTCAAAGAGAAAGTGACCCTCCTGGTTCGAACAAGGGTGATCCTGCGAAGCACTATAACTATGAAACGATTGACGCCAAAGTTTCTTTTAACCACATGTACGCGTTTGTGAAAGCCCAAACAAAGCTACATTGTTACAAATACGGATTCAAACCAGTTGGATTTCCCCATCAATGAAATGATGTTCATTATGCCATAATTCAAGGCTGAGAGCAAATTTAAAGAAACAGGTGAAGGGACACACTTCAAGATCAGATTTCATGTTGTTCTTGCTAAGCCAGCTGAAGAAGTGTGGTCGTTAACGAAGATCAAAAAGGTGATTATAATAAAGAAGGATGTGGTCTTCGAAGATACATTCCATAATATTAAGTATGTGCTGGTGCGGGCGGATGGAAAAATATGTGAATTCACTGTGGCTGACTTTCCATTGATGAACTTGTATGATCTTATTCAAGTTGCATTAATTCTGAAGGAAAGGTCATTTTCGTATTTGCAAAATACTGAGCCAGATGAGTTTAAGGTTGGAGTGACTCACATCAAAATCTTTATTGAAAATTATTACGAATGTCTTACAATGACTGATGTGGAGTTGGCTACTGCAAAGGGTTTGTAAATAAATGCTCCCATGAATCCTACGAAGACTTAAGCAGAACTTAAAACATATGCTGATGGAGAAATCTGCTTGAAACCCTTTGGGTTAGTCTTTTCTCGGAAGGATAAGTTGGGAAGGTCGAAGAAATTTTAGTTTCAAGTTGCTGAGGTGGAAAGATATTCAACTTCGCAATATACGAACTTAGTTTTTCGTATGAACCATTGCAAGAAGAATAATAAAGGTGATAAGAAGGAACTGAAGAAAATTATTAACTGGTCTACAGAGATTCGAAGGGTCATGCTTTACTCTATTCAAATTCTTACCAATTGAAGACTTCGACTTTGATTCCAAAGGGGGGGATTGTAAGGGTGAATTTTGTTGTAATTAGTCAAAGTATTTCATGTCTTCGTATGTTATATTCTTCGTTCCTTATGTAATGTATTTTCTTAGGCATTGTATTCGAAGCATAACGCTTAGTCCTGAGAATATTTTTTGTACTCTTTTCTCTCAGATAAATAGGAGTGTTTACTAGAGTTAGAAGCACTTTTTGGACAGCACTTGTATTTTGTACTCTGTAAAAACTTGAGAAGCGTAATAGAGCTGAACCAAAAATCATATTTACATTGGTGTTCAAATCTTGCACACTTTTTTCTGATCATTTGAAACTCTGATAAATTTCATACTCGATTCATTTACTTCATCACTAACTTCCCTTATAAGAGTTTTCGTACAACAACATTTACCACTCCAGTATCGATGTGATGCATTTCGAGCTCCTCTATGGGAGGAAGTGTCACACCCCAATGTGTTAGGGAGAGGTTGGTCATAGAGTCACGGGAAGGACTGAGGTAGTCCTTTAGACGACGAAGCTCATTCAAAAGATTAGGTAGAGACTTCAGATAACTCAGAGTCGGCAGAATACTTATGCCAACAAGCGTCGATCTGAGTTAGAGTTCTAGGTCAGGGACATGGTCTTACTGAAGGTATCACCCTGGAAGCAGTGTTGTAAAACTCGCCAAGTTGGCCGATTACTCCTTCGAGTACTCGCTACTCGGCCCCTTACCGAGGCGAGTTACAAAATCCCGAGTACTCCCCAATCGGCCTATTTACTAAACTGAGTAGTTTTGTAAAACATGGTCAACTCGGTGATTAATATGTATAATATACTTAATGATTTATTACTTAACACATACATATGATTATTACCACATATATATCCTAAATTTTCAGTAATTATTCGCGAAGTAAGACCATTATGTGATTTTTCAGCTTTTGTGTATTCACATGTATCTAATTTTGTTATATATTTCAATCAACTTATGATTTTAACTTATGATTTTGACATATATAATTTCCCTAAAAATATTTCTACATGAATTACCGAATCCGAGTACTCCCCGAGTACTCCCGGGTACTCGCTACTCGGTAGTCGGCCGAACAGGTACCGAGTAACGAGTTCTGCAACCTTGCCTGGAAGGGTGTAATACGCTTTAGGATGAGGGGCAAGTTGGGGCCTTGGTATATTGGACCATTTCGGGTGATTTACAGGGTTGGCAAGGTAGCTTACAAGTTGGATTTATCTGAGGAGATCATCCAGATTCACAACACTGTCTATGTTTCACAGCTTCGGGAGTGCGTGGCTAATGATTCAGTGGTTGTCCCTTTGGAGGATGTTCAGATTGACGATTTTGAACTATGTTGAGAGGCCAATAGCGATTTTTGATAAAAATACGAAGGCCTCGCAACAAGGTGGTAATCATTGGTCAAAGTCCGGTGACAACATCGAAGAGGTTCCGAGTAGACCTGGGAACTCGAGGCGAAGATGAAGGAGCATTACCTAGAGTTGTTTGCATCAGCGGACTTCGAGGACAAAGTCTAGTTCAAGTAGAGGAGAATTGTAACATCCGGATCCATGGATGTACTTTAATTTAAAGTATTTTTTATGTATTTGTATATAATGGATTTTGGGTAACACCACGTCGTGGTGGATCCTCACCACGATGTGGAAATAGCTTATGGGCCGCGGGGATTTAGTGAACCATCACGACGTGGTGGCCGCCATTGAAGAATACCCTAAAGTTTAAGGGTTTAACCCCTATTTAAAAAAAGCCTCCTTCCCATCATCCTCCATCCCTCATAATTGTCCCTTGCAAACCCTAGACCTCTTGTGAGAGTTTTTTTACCCTAAAGTGTGTGTTTTGGTGCTTGTGAAGAAAGAAGGTGATGGTAGATCATTTTGGGAGTCCAAAGCAATGTTGATCCAGAAGTTTGTCTTCCTAAAATATCTCTAGGAGGTATAAAGCTTTCATCTTGATGAGTAGATAAATCTCTAGATTTTGTCCACCCTTCTTTATGACTTGTTTTTTTGGATGGTCTGATCTCATAAAGCTTGTAACTTTATGAATCTACATGCCTTTGGGAGTATTTGGTGCTTTGGATCTAGACTAGGCTTGAGCTTTCAGACCATGCATGGATCTTGGCCTTTTCGTGCTATTTTTGACCTAATAAGAGTTCAAGACATGCATTAGACATGCATGTCTGAAAATCAAAGATTTTTATAATAAGATATGTGTTAGAAATTGTTTGGAGTTGTTGGTCAACTTATCTTATAGATTAAGTGCTTATTTCTTAAGGCATGTGGTGTTTTTTACCATAAAGTTGAGATCTATGGACATTGGAGGGTTCTAAGGGATAAAGTTGGAAACTTTATCCATCTAGACCCTAAATTGGGCCAGGAATAAGTTGGAGAATCCTTGGAACTGAAGAAAACAACTTAATTCGTTAAGTTGTTGAATACCCAGTGGCCACGACATGACGGACTGGCTGGTCACGACTATTTTGTCGTATCGGCACCACAAAGTGGTCAAGGAAAACCATGACTTGGCAATCAGTCTGTTGACTTTTGGATTTGACTAGAGTTTAACCAATTTTGACCAAGAGGTATTTTTTGGCATTTTGATATTAAATTTTAGTTGGGCCATGATTTGACTAATAGGTGTCGGATAGAGCTAGTATTCAGAGAAAAGATTTGTTCAACTTTTGTTCAAGCTGAGAGGTGAGTTTTCCTCATTGTACTTGTGGTTCGAAGGCACCAATGTCAGCCCATTAGATTATGTATCATGGTTATAGGATAATTCTATGCTAATATATGGTTGATTAGTAGATATGTATGATTATATGTATTTGATGGTTCTGTGTTTATCTTTATCTGTTACATATGTCAACATATTATGGTTGGGTTGAGGTGGTCCTACTTTGTGCTGAAGGTCAAGATACCCGAGGCGATCTGGATAGGCTGTAGGCCCTGTAAGGTGGTCCAGTCCTACTTCATGCACATCTTCCTATTTTTATGACACTGGACCTTGGGATACTGTGATTTTGAATAATACTTTTGAATCAATGGTTTTGTAAACACTTTATGGATCAAATGAGTTGTTTTTGAAAAACTTAAATTTCTATGATTTTTGGGATGTTACAATCACCTTTAGGAATATTCCAAAAACCTAAGAATCCATGCCAAAATCGTCCAACCCTATTAGGGTTCTAGAATTTTCTTTCCTTTCTCAATTAAGAACAATTGCAATTCAACCATTTGACTTTTAGTCGATTCTAATTAATCCATAAAATTAATCCAATTAAATCTAATGAAATCTAAATTAATTCTTACTGATTTCATATTAATTTATCAATCATATAAATTAACAAATCACTTATCTATTTCTAATTAATATATTCATCATATAATATATTAACCGATCATTTTTCCACTCTCTCCAAATATCATTTCTATCTTACTTCTGGTTATGAGGGCAACCCAAAATTTACTTTGTTTTTAATGATAAGAATATGTCAATTTAGTTATGAGCTTAGACACCTTAATCAAACGATAACAACTT